CACTACAGTCCCTAATGAAGAGTCCCTCCCCAGCATCCCTATAGGCCCCCTTCATGAGACACTGAGCCCTGGGGAGCACAGGTGCATCCCTGCTCCTTGAGCAGGCAGGCTGCAGCCTTCCCCAGCACCCCACAGTCTATTGCTACCTTAACCAGGGCATTTTGCAGCAAACCTGCACAATTTAACACACGTTTCCCTCATTCAAAGAGGATCTTCTAGGTCTGCTTCCGACCTCCAGACCTCTCGGGCAGGGATGCTCAGCACCTCTCAGAGAGCTGTTGGCTTCACCACGCTACGATCCCAGGGCTGTTCCATGCAGGAGCTGGCTGTGAATCACCTGCTCTGCTGCTCAGTGACCCGGCTCATCCACTGCCCCCTGGCCAGCCAGCGACAGGGCTGCCGGTCACACTCCCAGGGCCTCTCTGCCCCAGCCAGGCCTCCCCTGGCTCTTGAAAGCGCTGCAGTGTTTTCTTTTCATCAAGGGGATCCCTGCTCCCTGCTCTCCCCATCCCGCTGCGCTAATTGGAACGGGCTGGGCAGCGTGGGGGCTCTGCTGGACAAGGTATTTTAATGAGGATGGAGGGTGCCTGCGCCGTTATCTGCTGCTTCTCCCAGCCTCTTGGCTGGCTCCTCGCTAATTACAGCCTGCCTTCCGGGTGAGCTCTCTGCCTCGGGACCCCTGCGGAGCACCACGCTCCGGCAGCCTGCAGCCGCCTGCCCTCCGCTGCTCCGGAGCTGTGGGACCAGTCCTGGCCACGGCAGCGCTGCCGCGTTGGGACGGGGAGGTGGCTGAGCCCCCCGGGGCTGGCGGGCAGGCAAAGGGAGCGAGGCTGGAGCAAGGCTGCAGGGAGGGGGGGGGTTCCCGAGGGTCGGCGCCCAGCAGCGGCGATGGGGATGGACGCGGGGCTGTTGCGCTCCTTCAGGCCTCCCCAGGAGGCAGCAGGGCAGCGCCGGGCTGAGCCGAAGGTAAGGGCACATCGGGCAGGGCTGGGGCCGCTCGCTCACCCCAAGGGGAGCCATCAGGCTGGCAGCAGCATGCCCTAGGGCAGAGAGCTCCCATTCACAGCCAGCTAACCGCCTGGCCACAACAGAGCTACCCCAGCCCGGTGGATTATTGCCTCCTCACAGCACCACCCCATGGGCCAGTACTTCCAGCTGGCCAGTGCAGCCCAGAAGCAACCACCGCCTGTATCACAGTCAAGGCACTGCTACAGGACACATCCTTCCTGTCCAGCACTTATTTCACATGAAGGCATCTCCATCCTCCATACACTCATCTGCACAGCATCGTGCTGTGGAAGGCCTGCCATGGCTCTCATGCAGTGTGGAGCTGAGGCACAGATACACTGAGTGATCTGCTCACAGCCAAATGGAAACTGTAGCAGAGATTGCAGAATCATTGAACAGTTTGTGTTGGAAGGGACCTTAAAGCTCATCCAGTTTTGACACCCTGCCATGGGCAGGGACCCCTTCCACTGGAGCAGCTTGCTCCAAGCCCCTGTGTCCAACCTGCCAGGGATGGGGCAGCCACAGCTTCTCTGGGCACCCTGTGCCAGCGCCTCAGCACCCTCACAGGGAAGAGCTTCTGCCTAAGAGCTCATCTAAATACACTCTCTTTCAGTAGGATGGACCCCGAGTGTCCCATCTCCCTCCAAACAGCAGCTCATCCTCCTCCAGCGCAGACCAGCTCAGCACCAAGCCTGCCTCCATCACCGCCTGTGCACAAGCGTGAGGCTGCAGCACACGGTGGCAGAGCTGTCACCCCTGCCTGCGTGGGAGCATGCACCGTGGGAAGCCCAGCACTCCTCTCAGTGGACAATGGGCAGATTGAAACCGAAAGCCTTTCAGTGGGTGGGTTTTTTCACACTAACCGGTGCTCCAGTGGAACCAGCTGACATCAGTGCTCTCCTCCTGGAAAACAGGGAAACAAACCTGGACCCGACGGTGGGAGAAGCAGCGTGGCTCCTGCACACAATAAATGGCAGCTCGCCAGCACATGAGACAAGAACAATAACTCCACACGGCCGTGCGCCTGTGAACAGCATTGTTTTAGGGAAACCATGCCCTGGGCAGGTTCCAAATCGACTGAGGGTGACGTTGGCAATAACTGTGCTCTGTGCAGTGCCATCCCGCTGGCAGAGCTGCGTTGTGCCAGCCCGGAGCACGTGTGGTGTGCCTGCAGGTACAGCGGAGCCAGGGGTGGATCAGGGGTTCTAGGGGGTTGTTGAGCATGGAGATGGCAGAGCCCAAATATCCTACAGTGCCCAAATCAGGGAGTAATAAAGGCTTCTCTCTCCTGGGAATATGGAGCTCCTGGGTACCACGAAATCACTGTCATTCCTTGCCATCTAGCTACAAGTAGATGCTGGGGATTTATAGCTGTGATTTGGGGTAATATAGTCTTTAGGGAGGCAGAATGACCTCGTCCCCTGTGCTTTGCCCCAGCTCTGCAACACTAAACTGGTCACTTTGCTACTCTCTGCTTCAGTTCCCCCAGGCAAAAAGCGTGGGAGAAGGTGCAGCCAGTTCCTGCGAGCAGGGCAGAAGGGAGAAGAAGAACCAGCAAGGATCAAAGCTGGACGCCCAGTCCAGAACAATAATGCTGTTTTCACCCTCGTCCCCATCACAGCCTGCTCTCTGCAGGAGCTCTTGGCCACCTCATGCAGGGTGATCTCCTGAGCACATCTCTCAGGGGACGGCTCCTCAAAGGGGCAGCGAGGCTGGCTGCCCCCCTTTCCCCACCCAAAAGCCATTCCCAGCTGTCCCCAAGGCCAGGAGTTTGCTCAGCTGCCTGATCTCTCTGTCTTTGCCTCCAACAGCAGGTTTGTAACTGTGTGAGAGCCTGTGAAGTCCTAACTACCCCAAGCTCTTGAAGCCGCCGCTTGCTGTAATCTCAGCTGGATCAGGGACAGCCCAAACCTGGAGGAAGAGGCAGCTTCAGAGCCCGGGAGCCAACGTTTACAATAAATCCTCATCCTTGCTGTAAACACCCCTGGGAGGGTGTCACAGGAGCGCAGCAAAGAGTGATGCAGCCAGGGACGCTCACCGGTGAGAGCCTCTGCCAGCCCGGCTGGCGCAAGGCCTTGCTCTAGCAAAGAGCATCATTAGCAATGAGCTGTGCCCAGGACCCTGGGCTTGCCTCCCGCTTCCTCTGCTTGAGCTCCATGCCCTGGATGCTGCTGCTTGGCAGCCCCGCAGCCTGGCATCCTCTTATCGAGGCAGAGGAAATAGCTCAGGCCGTGGCACCCCATCTCCAGGCTCCACACACAAGCACATTGCTGTTTGGGAGAATAACTTAGACCCCTGGGGGGTTTTTGTTTAATTCTCAACCTAAGGAAACCAGAGCAAATGATCCGTCTTGCACCCTTGTGGAATTCAGTGAGATTAGATTAGGGATGAATTCTTCCCATATTTCTTATAGAGTTGATATCTCTGCCCTGGCTTTCCGATTGACTTCCCCATCCCTGCCTCATAAATCACAGGGGTGTTTGTGTTCCTGTTCTTTTCAATACCCTTAACTCTGCAGGCGAAATCTAAGCTGCAGCAGCCCATCGTGTCAGATCAGTGACCCGGGGGGTGCCAGACCCCTCCCTTTGAGGGCTGTGCGAGGACCAGCACCGGGAAGCTGGGACACGCTCCTCTTGGCAAAGGGAAAGCTTGCACATGGCTCGCGTGGCCGCATGGGTGCGGGATAGCTGCGGTTCTGTGACCCAGCCTCCTGCAGCACTTTCCCCCTTCCCTTGCACACACGCCTGCACCAGAAAGGGATGCTTCCCAGCTTAGCAGGAATCCCCCGCGGGTGCTCAGCAGCAGGATTAGTGCAGTGGTTCCTTATGGGCCATAAACGGCTTAACTCAACACAGCCGCGGCAGCAACATCAGGCTCGGGGCTTGCTGAAGTTCACCTACACCCTGCCTGGGAGATGCCTCCTCATCTCGCCTTGGCCAGGCTGCCCGGCTGCCATGGCCATTCCTGCACACTTCCAGGAGCCATAATTCGTGCCACAGATGGTCTTATTTCAAGGTGAGGAAGAAATAACCCTCCTTGTCTCAACTTCAGTTTGTCAAGTGCTTTGTTATTTGTTTTCAGACAGAAGCAAACATTTCACTTTCTCCCTCCCACCCTCACCCCGAGCATCACAACCCCATCACACTGCAACATCCACCCATCACCTCCAAAGCATGCAAGGCTCCCAACTCCCAGCCATCCCTACCCAGGCTCTGCAATGCTTCCAGGCAGAAGGATCATCAGTTAAAGGATGCCTTTAGAGAGCACCTGGCATTTCTCAGGCTCTGTTTCTTTTCTGCCTGCTGTGTCGGATGTCCCGAGGTTTCTGAGAGGTGAGGCCTTGCAGAGAGAGGCTGAAGAAGCACAATTGCCCTGTCCTGACAGATTTCATGAAGCCCAAGCACAGCACATTCCCCCCATGGACCAGGGAAGCTGTTTCTTCTCCTAGGACCAAGGCTGCCCCAACTGATCAGAGGCAAATGATTTTTATTTGGAGGGGATGTAGGAAATCCAACAAAGCTGTCTTTGGGCAGTGGAAGAGTCCCCAGCATGGGCTAGGCACCAGCGACAATCTGGCCAAATGGGACTTGGGGCTGTTAAACCCAAGCAGCAAAGCAGAACGTCAAAGTGGAGAAGCCCCAGAGAAACCAGCTCTGGACAAAAAGAGCTTTACCATAGCGATAAACAACAAAACCTTCTGGAATCCAAGTGGGGCATTCATAGGTCTAACCAGAACAGATCACTACAGCACCACTGCATGCAGCGGCGAGCGGAGCAGCAGCAGGAGCTCTGCTCCCTCTGTAGGAGTCGGGCTGCTCCCGAGTCACTGCGCACAGATCTAACTCGCGGTGCAGCCAAGTGAGCGCAGCGGCCGCGGGTCAGAGCCCGTTCCGCCGCCCGGGCTGAGCTGCTCCCGCTGGGATCGCTTCCCGGGGGAGAGGAGCCCCGCGGCCCGGTCCTGCCGCAGCGATTCAAACCCGCTCTCTACTCACCAGCCAAGGAGCCCGCGGGATCTCAGCGGCGGGGAGCGCGCCCGGCTGCCAGCCCGAGCCCGAGTACCTGGGGGCTGAGCAGCAGGGAGGAGCTGGGGGCAGCGGGGCAGCCCCTCATTCATAAACCAGCCCAGGCTGCCGGGACCGGGCCGGGATCCGCGGGCAGCAGTCGCCATCCAGCGGCGAGGATGCGAGGATGCGCGCTCAGGGGAAAGCGGGGTGCTGGTCCCGGGGATGCTTCATTCCCGCGGGCCAAGGCACAGCGAGGCGGGGTGGGAGCCTCAAACAGCCCATGGGGTGCATCGCTCCTCGTTATTCCTTGTAAGCTGTGAATCCGAACTGCAGCGGCGTGGATGGGGACCAGCGGCACACGGGAACCGTCCTGCTGCTGCCTGGCAAGGGGAACTTAGGAAGGAAAGCTCTGGTTCACAAGTGATCAAGAGCAAAATGCTAGGGAAAGGGAAATCTGGGATGATTCAGGCTCTGATGGCTGTGCACAGTGTGGCAGGAGCCGATCCATACATCCAAGGACCCAACACACACACTATACATTTACAAGTTGTGTATTTTTCACTCCAGACAAGCTCTGGGCTGATGCTGCAGCCGAAACTCCCATCAGTGGCTGGGGAGCATGAGGTGCATTCCTGGAGCACGTTCGATTTGGTTTCATCTGAAAGGAATCCACTTGATGCTCTCCCAAGCCTGAGCTCTCCAGGACTCAATCCAGAGCACAGAAAAGTGGGGAAAGTTGGGAGATCAGTTTCAGAAATGCACCCCTTAGCCAAGTTAATGTGCTGGAGCAGGCCCACCCCAGCAGGGCTTTGCTGTCTGACCGCCCCACATCCAGAGAGATGCTTGGCCCCTCTCCTAAGTAAGCACAAGCAATAGGAAGGACACAAGGGTGCAGCACTAAGGTGTGAGTGGGGCCAGAAAGGGTGTCAGGGCCTTCTGGCACTAAGTGGCTTCAGGTGGGCCCCCCACACACCCACCTGCTGCCCATTGGGCTGGGGGCTCCATTTAAGCCCAGGCCTGAGCTAGGAGTCTTCTCCTAAGGTGGGCTGCAGGCCCAGACTGCTCTCCTGGATGGATTGCAGGCAGGCCTGTCTCCTTGATGGACCTTGAACTGATGCTACAGGCAGCCCTGATAGCAGCTTGTTGATGGGACCTGTCACTACCACCATAGCGGGACTGCATCCTGGTGGGTAAGGGTGAATCTCCTCGGTGGGAATCCAAACCACCCCACTGCAGGGTGCTTAGGCCGATCCCCTTCTTCCCTCCAGATGAAGCCTGACATGATGCAATGTAAAGTGATGTGGTATGTATGCACAGAGGCGTCCTGCAGCATGGGAGCTGCTCACTGGGGTTGTCTGCAAGGGTAGTGCTTGTAGGGTGGACTGCAGAGAGTGCCAGGGTGCGCTTCAAGCTGTTATCCAGCTCCCTGGACCAGCCCATCCTTCCATTGTGCAGGATGGGGGACTCTGTCCCCTGGGGGTGCTATGCTCAGCCCGCAGCTTCCTTGCAGCACACCCAAGCACTCTGCAGGGAAGTGAACTCCACTTTAGCAGCTGGATGGGTCAGGCCTCCTCCAGGCTGCCAATGGGCAGAGCAACACACACATGGAACAGCCCCGTGCTTCTGGAGGTGATGGGAAGTGCTCATGGCAGCACTGGGCTGGTCTCTGTGTTGCTGATCCACCTCAGTTCCTGGGGATGGAGCCAGCCTGGTGTGCCCCAGGGCAAGAAGCAGATGCTGGATAAATACCAGCACAATTATGGTTAGCTGTATATTCCCCCTCCATGACTGGAAATGCTATGGAATCCTAGACCAGTTTGGGTTGCAAGGGATCTTTAATGGTCATTGAGTCCCCCTGCAATGAGCAGGGACATCTTCAACTAGCTCAGGTTGCTCCAAGCTCCATCCAACCTGACCTTGAGTGTTTCCAGGATGGGGAATCTACCACCTCTCTGAGCAACTGGTGCCAGTGTTTCACCTCCCTCATTGTAAAAAACTCTTCTTTGTATCTAGGCTGAACCTATCCTCTTCCAGTTTAAAGCCATTACCCCTTCTCCTATCAACTGCTGCTGCCTTTCTCCTCTGCTGGGAGTAACCAACAGCTTATTCTCCTTTCAGCCCCACTTGCACCTCCCCAGGGGAGGAAGGCATCAGCGTGGGTCAGTGGACAACAACATGCCAGAGTGGTCCAGAGCATGCATGGAGGGATGTGCTGCAGCAGCAGGACCCTGAGCACACATGGTGGAGTTTGCACACTGGGAGGTTAGTGCAGCAAGGGTTTTGTTATGGTGTTATCCCCTGGGCCAGCACTGTGTCACCCATGGGGAGGGTGCTTCTGGGGGTCAGCCTGGTGCCTTCTTGTCCCATTCAATCCAATCCCCACACACACCAGCAGCAACTTGGCCAAGACATTTCCCCTTCAAAATGGGCTGGCAGAAATGATCCCTGTAGAATTTGGACAAGGGCTTGTGTTTGTGCTTATCTTGGCTGTTCCGGTCATTATGGGACTCACTACAGTGTCATTCATCTTCCTTTGAGTCTTTGTGCTGCTAGACAGAACCTGAAGTGCAGTTTCACAGAGCTTATACTTGCTGACATTTGAAAGCATGATGTCCCCAGTGCAAGGAACACAGAATAGTATGGTCTTTCTATGTAGATGGATAAATACAGAACTTACATTAAAATGGGGTCATGATTTGAGCAACACTCTCCTCTGAACACTGAACTGCTCCTCTTGTCTTAAACTATGAAATGAATGAAATTGCTCATGATGCTCATCTGGCATCTTCCATATCTAACAGGAGAAAAGTATGTTTTTATTCTCTTTCATTTCAAATATAGAGCGGTCCTATGGATTTGTTTGAAAGACATTTGAGAAAAGGTTAATTGCAGTGTATTTGCTCCTAAAGATGTTACCAGTATAACTGCAGCCCACTCACATTCTGCTTGCTGGTGTCCTGTACTCTTGGGGGTGGCCTGGCAAAGCTTTGCCTGTTGAGGGCTTGTCTGAGTGCCAAGCCCAGCTCAGCCACCCCTGTACAAGGGTGCAAAGCCCCTGAGGGCCAGCAGTAGCTGCACTTGTGATATCAGACAGAAAATCCCCTGGGGCTGGGTTTTTTTTAGTTTGCTTGCAGCTAAGTGCTAGGAACCCAGTTTGTGCAGCATCAGGCTTTGCCTCTGAGAAGAACAGGGGGGTTAGTGCCATTGCTGATGCACCTGAGCTGGAGGGGTGGGAGATTTTTCTATGCCAAAGTAAAGCATTTCCGAGAGGGTCCCCAGATGGACCTGCCAGGTCAAGGAGATGTTGCCAGCGTTTGTCTCAGGCTTTGTACTACCCAGTAACATGCATTTTGCATTCCCAGGTCCATGCTGCAGGTGGGATAGGTACCTCATCCTATCAAGTTGGGTGGGATGCTGCAGGTGGGATAGGTACCTCATCCTATCAGATTGGGTGGGATGCTGCAGGTGGGATAGGTACCTCATCCTATCAGGTTGGGTGGGATGCTGCAGGTGGGATAGGTACCTCATCCTATCAGGTTGGGTGGGATGCTGCAGGTGGGATAGGTACCTCATCCTATCAGATTGGGTGGGATGCTGCAGGTGGGATAGGTACCTCATCCTATCAGGTTGGGTGGGATGCTGCAGGTGGGATAGGTACCTCATCCTGTGCCCATCTCTTGCCTGGCTGCTTGGGCTGTCTGCACACTCCAGCCAGAGCTGCAAAGAGCAAGGTGCCTGTTCTGCAGAAGGAGCAGTCACAAGCTCCTGCCTTCATGGACCCCCGTGGTGCCACACTGCAGGGGAAAGCAGCCCCATGGTGTATAGTTGCTGCTGCCAACTTGCTCTGCTCCCTCCATCCCATGCCCCCCTTGCTGTGGGGGTCCATAGGGGTTAGCTGAGCAGGACCCACACATTAGCAAGTCTGTGTCACTTCTGCTCTTTGAATGAAATCTGGAAAGAGCCACAGCTGAGCTAGAGCAACACTTGTTTTATTGAACCCCCAGCAGAAAGGTCCTGCTCCCATCTTGCAGAGGGACAGCTTGCATCAGTCCTTCCCTGGCTGTGCTGGAGCTGAGAGAGGCAGCCCTAGCCCCATCCTCCTTCCAGCTGCACCCCTTCTCTCCTTGCAGCTGGTTACTGCTGTGGGAGGAAGCACATTCACTGGTTTCTCTCTCCCCTTCCCCTTTACAAATGCTTCCCTCATCCCACCTTGCTGCTTTTTTCCTTTAGAAAGCCCAGCTCCAGCTCTTCACATCAATATGTTCCATTTACAAGGTCCTGAATAACTGCTGTATCAACATGAATAAGTATTAGAAATTGAAGAGTAACTACTCTGGTAGGGGGGGAAGCGCATCTCACTCCAGGGAGTCTCAGATGTTCAAAGCAGCCTCCTGCATCCCAACCTTTGTGGCTGATAGGGCTCAGAGATGGACGCTCCTTGGGCAGGGGTACAAGTAGAAGGTCCCCTGCCTAAGCCTCCCACCCTGGAAAGGGTGGACGTAACCTCCCCTTTGGGGTCCCCCTCCAAACCAGCCAATCTGTTGCATGTTCCTAAGAACATCCCCTTGCTGAGTGCTGCCAGCAGCTGTGGTCCAGGAGCAGTGGCCTTCCTTACCCACATAGGCCATCCATTTAAACCCCTCTGCCTTTTCTGCCCAGGCTTCTTTGCACACATACACTTCGTACCAACCTTAGTACTGGTTACAGTACTAAGTAACCGGTCCTCCTCCTGTGGATAACACATCTGTGGCAATCAAGGGCTCCATCACAGGACTGACTTTGGGATCTTTTCCACTAACTCTTATCAGGACTTCCCAAAAAATCCAAACAGTCATCTTCAGTCATCGCCATCACCACAGGATGGCACAAAGGCAACGTGATGAATGTGGCAACAGATCTAATATAGTAATATTGGAATGATTTTGGAAATACAAACAAAATAACTCTAGGATATAAAGGCAGTTGCAATGCAGCTGTGGCTTTAGGTGACCATCCTTTGAAAACCATTGAAGACATCAAAACCACTAGACCAGTGACAGTGAGGGGTTCGACTTCATCACCTGTGCTGCCATTTCCCTAAGAGAACATGACATTTTCTGGCTTGGTTCTTATTTGTCATACTTTTAGCTTCTCACTCTGTTAATCTGTTCTGGTTCATTAATAACCTCATTACAGTCACCTCATCCCAACCCCAGTGGGGGGCTCCTCCCCATTCCCTAATCCTGGGTTTTCCCTGGCTGATGGACAACATGGGTGGACATTACATAGACATGCACATCTTTAAGGGAATACACAGAGACACACTCTGGGTTCCCTTGGGGAATTCAGAGGAATCAAGCCAATATCAAATACAGGGAGTACCTTGATTTTCATGGCTGGTACCGGGATACTCTCTTTGGTCCAGGTAAGTGGCATTTTCAAGCCACACACACTGCCCACCCTGAAATCCCACACTTCTGTAACATGCCATCGTTCCAACATCATAAGATGCAGTATTATTCCTGATTCCCCATCATCATTTACTATGATTTCTAAGGAAATACTTGATTTGTTGGCTTCTATGATTAATGTAACTAACAGGAGCTAGATCTGCCTCCACAGAGAGAAAAAGGATTTCTCTTGCCTGGAGACAGATGCACCCTGCAATTACAGTTTTTATTATTAATTTTTCCCCTCTTTTCCCTGCCGTCTGTTCCTGCTCCTCTCCTGTTCCCGACTTGAGCCCTGGCAATTGGCCTACAAGGAGAGTGTTGTGAAGCATCTCCTTTCACATATGCACATCACGCTGCCTACAAGCGAGCAAGCAAGCGAGCACGAAGCTAAGCCAAGGAACATACATTATTTAGTGAGGTCCATCTGTCCAAAGGAAGCTGCTCTTACATTTATCTGGTTTATAATCTTCTAATTAATCACGTAGCATCAGTCGTTAACAGGTTTTCACTAAGATGGATGTACCCACTTAGCAAATTAATAAAGCCAGATAAAGGGCTCCTGTAGTTGGTGGCTGTAAAGGCTCCCTCCCGTTTTGCTGGGGAATGGTGCTCTGTCGGTGCTCATTTTTGGCACATGCAGATGCCCGGCCTGGGACAGCCTGTACAGCAGCTACTGGTCCACTCCCAGATGCCCCATTTCCCTCCAGTGCCACTGGAAGTGATGTCCTGCCAAGCCATGCTTCTTTCCCCTTTGTGCATGAATGATTTCCAGACTCAAGAGCACCAGCTTGCTCCTCCAGCCCCCATGCCACTACAACTGCTCCCTCTTAGGGACTACATCCCCAGGACCCCATCACCTTCCCTGTCCTCCCTCTGCATAGTGGGACCCACACAAAGACTGAAGCCCCTGCTTGCAGCCCGGGCTTCCTTCTGCGCATTATTCCAAACTCCTCACCTTCATCTGGAGATCACCGGGAGGAGTGTGAAGGGTTGCTACCCTTTGAGGTTCTGCACTACTCACTGAGCTTCTCATTTGTGGTATTTCTTTGCTAGTTCCACTGTAACAGAGCTATTGGGTGTCATCATCCATATGGCCATTAAAAGAACCATTATGGTCATTACATGAACCTTCCCAACCTACAGACTCAGACAAGCTGCTCCTGACTGTGCCATGTGGTCCCCAAGTGGATTTTATAGCATAAACATTAAAGTGCCCCTTCCTGCATCTGAACTTCCACTGGCTCTCTGAAGGAAGTTTCCTGAGCAGCTCCTCTCCCCTTGTTTGCACAGGGAGCCCCTAAACCCACCACGGAGGGGCTCTGGAAGGAGGGCCTGTTGTAGACCCTTTCTAAACACAGCTTGCCCTGGGCACACACGTTCTCTCCCCTCACCTCCATGTACTCACCAGCACCACAGTGCTTGTCCCCACCTCCACCATCGCTGGGTGCAGCACCAGGGACTGGGGTGCCAGTGAGCAAGTCCCCCAAGCTTCTCTGGAGTTGCCTGTGTGAGAGACAAGGAGATGCAGCCTGGAGAGGATGCTTGCTGCCTTTAGAAGTTGCCATCACCATTGCCCTTATCCATACAGGCCACACTCAAGACTTGTCACCTGTGGTCCCTGTTCCAGTAACTTACCAGGACATTCCAGACATCAAAATTGTCATCTTCAGTCCTCCACATCGCAACCACCACAGGATGGCACGAAGGTACATGCTGAACGTGGCAACAGCACTAGCACAGTTGTGAAAATCTTGTAAATACAAACAAAATGACTGTAAGATATAAAGGCAGGTGCAACATAGCTGGGGCTTTAGGTGGCCACCCTTTAAAAAAACATTAAAGACATGAAGACCACTACACCAGTCATAAAGAGGGTTTCTAACCTCCCCAGATGCCTCTGCACTCTCTGGGCTGTACCAGCAGCACTTGCTCAAAATGGCTTTTTCTCTCACAAACACAGCCCCTACCAGCTTTATCTAGCATGGCTGTGTCCCTCAAGGGTCCCCAACACCACTGCCACCAGATCCAGCCCTCCAGTGGAGAGGATGGGGAAGGCTCTGGCTTGGCTGGGAAGCTCAGGTATCACCCAGCATGCATTAGACTACCTTTAGGCACTAAGCTCTTGCTGTTAACTGAATTCAGTTGTCCTTGCTAGCAGCCAGGAGTTGCTCCTGCTCCCAGATTCCTTCCAGGTCTTGGGGCTGCCCCCTGCTCCCACTTCACATCCTGGCCTACGAGTACAGGGCACCAGGAGGTGGCAGGAAACACACTGCAGGCAGGACCATGCATGACCAAACCTGTCCCAGACCTCCAGAATGGCTGCAGCAGCCAGAGTCCTCATCAGCAGAGAGCACAACACGCTGAGAATCTCCCAAAGCTGTGATGCTTTACAACACCCCATGTTAGGCAAGAGACAAGCACTGACAAATTTTCAGTTTTATTAAAAAACTCCTAGCAGCAAAACCTGTAACAATTCCAAAAAAAAAAAAAATAATAAGACCAAACCCCCAAAAGAACGTGACACAGAGAGAAAGACAGATGGAGGAAGACAGGCTTAGGGCTTTCTGCACCCTTCACTCCAGCTCCTTATAGCGGGCAAACATGACCCTCCTGACGGCGTCGCGGTAGGTCTCATTGGACTGCCTCTTGTTGGGCTTCCCTTGGGCCCCCAGGCCAGGGCCCTTCCTCCTATTTTCTCCCTGCAAACAGACACACTTTGGGTTAGTGATTTCTCCTCCTCACTGTTTGCCCATAAAGAAAAAGCTTCCCCTGGGCTGCTTCAGGGCAGCCGACTGCTGCCATGGGGATCCGGGAGAGAAGGAACAGCAAGTGAAGTGTGCTCCTTCAAAAGCTGTTCAGGGGAAACTGCCAGCCCTCTGTGGGCAACAAAACCAGCCAACAAATGCCCACTGGGAATGGAATCACAGGGACTGGCTGCAGGGAACAACACGAGCATATGGCTGGTGGGAGCGGGCAGCCAAAACAGGCAACAGCCGTGTGCGAGCGAGGATTGAAACAGAGCAAAGGGAAGCACCAGCAAGAGCTGGGCTCCCGGGGAGCTGTCTGCAGTTAGCCTGCATTTGCAGAAGCTCGGCTGTTTTCTCCTCTAATAAGAGTTCCCATGGGCTCTGGTAGCTCACTTTGAATTTCAACCAGTTTTTCAGGCCTGGCTTTCGCAGCCAGCATCTGAATTATTCAGTAAACCTGCCTAGAGTTAGCCCAGGAGAGCAGGCCTAAGGCTCAAAGTTTCTCTCACTTTAAAGTCCGACTTATTTGAGTACCAGAGATGTCATCAATTAGGCCAAGAGATCAAAGTCCCGTAGGGCTGAAGTGGACACACGGTTTTGCCCAGCATGACCTGGCAGTGAAAAACAAGCACATCTCCAGGGCTCTTTTGGGAGGCTTTCATAGGAATTGCCCAAGAGCTTTGCTGTCAGCTCCCCCATCCAGTCTGGGAAGCCCTGATCAGAGGTCAGACTCCCAGAGAGCATCACTGCTGCTGGCTCTTCAACAGAGCCCGTCTTATGGTCAC